CGTTGACACTCTATGGCGGCTGCGTATCTGGAGCAACGTCGACGAGATCGAGCATCCCAGTCGAGATTCGCGAGGAGAAAGTTCGCCCACCTCGACGAAGAAAAGGAGTGAGAGGCAGAGATCTGGTCCTGGACACCGGCGCCACCAACCACATGTGTGGATCAAAGGCCACGATCTTGAAGCTGAACGCGACAGTGTTCGGCACTGTGCAGTTTGGTGGCGAATCGATGGTGCGGATCGAGGGTCGAGGAACCGTTGTATTCACGTGCAAGAACGGCGAGCTCAGATTATCTCCGGTGCCTACTTCATTCCTCGACTAACGATGAACATAATTAGCCTCAGGCAACTAGATGAGGACGGCTACAAAGTCAGCATCGATGAAGGGGTGCTGCGGGCGGACAACTATTGGCGAAGGTGACGCGGGTGATCAACCACCTATACAAGCTCTGTGTAAAGATGGCACATCCATCGTGTTAAGCGGTGCGCGGGCGTGGTGACGAGATGGCGTGGCTCTAGAATGAGCGCTTCGGCCATGTAAACTTGTTGGTGCTCAGGAAGCAGGCTCGGGAGGAGCTAGTGCGTGGCCTACCAAAGATTGGGCAGGCCGACCAGCTGTGCGACACATGCCAAGCCGGGAAGCAAAGGCGGACATTGTTCCCGGCGCAATGCACGATTGTCTCGAGCTGGTGCATGGTGACTTGTGCGGCCCCTATCACACCAGCGACACCAAGAGGAAACAAGTATTTTCTGCTGATGGTGGACGACTTGAGCAGATACATGTGGGTAGCTGCGATTCCCTGAAATGATCGTGCCGCGCTGCCATCAAGGTACAAGTGCGGGCGGAAAATGAGTCTGACATCAAACTGAAGGCGCTCCACACTGATCGCGTGGGCGAGTTCACTGCGACCGAGTTTGCGGACTACCGTGCATCTGAGGGCGTGCACCGTCAGCACACAACACCTTATAGCCCGCACCAGAACAGTGTCGTCGAACACCGAAATGGCACGGTGGTAGCAACAGCAACGAGCATTCTCAATGCTAAGGGCCTGCCTGGATGGTTCTGGGGTGAGGCAATCAACACTGATGTGTACGTGCTGAATAGGTGCCGACCAAGAGCAAGAGCGTGGAGGGGATAACACCGTTCGAGGCGTGGCACGGGAGGCAGCCGACAGTGCACCATCCTAGAACGTTTGACTGCGCACCGCACTTGAAGAAGTCGGAGGATCGCGGTTGCAAGATGATCTTCATTAGCTACGAGCGCGGCACCAAGGCATACTGTGCCTACGACCCCATCGCGAAGCGTGTTCACGTGACGCGTGACGTGGTGTTCGACGAGCAAGCTCAGTGGGACTGGATCATCGGCGACGACGACGACGAGCCTAGTGGCGGTGAAAATGTATTCGTCGTGGAGTAAACCACCGCAGGCCAAGCTGTGCATGAGGCTGATGATGCCATCGAGACGTCTAGAGGAGGAACGCCAGGAGAGCAATCGCGTCTTCCCCAACACGGTTAGGGATAAACCAGAGCTTGACTCGACAGACGACTTCAACGAAAACAACTTGGATGCCGACCACGACAATGATGCGCCTCTCCGGTTCCGCAGTGTCGACGACATCATCGGGCTAATCTGACTACGTGGCTTCGCAACGCCCGCACTGGTGATGGAGGAGCTGCACGCAGTGAGCGCTGACGAGTCGACCTCATTCGCCAAGGCAGAGCAAATTCTCAGTGGACGAAGGCAATGATGGAGGAAACAGAGTCCATCGAGGAGAACGGTACGTGGTGCCTCGTTGACCTCCCATCCGACCGCAAGGCTATTGGGGTGAAATTGGTGTAAAGGCGAAGAGGGACGAGCACGGGACGGTGACCAAACACTAGGGGCGCCTCGTGGTGAAGGGCTACGCACAACGGCACGTCATTGACTACGACGAGGTATTTGCACCGGTTGCAAGGCTGGACTCGGTGCGCCTCGTTATCGCCCTTGCGATGCACGAGGGGTGAGAGGTACACCACGTGGACGTCAAATCAGCGTTCTTGAGCCGCGACCTGCACGAGGAAGTCTACGTCGAACAACCGACTGATTTTTTCATCACCAGCAAGGAGCACGAGGTGCTCAAGCTTCGGAAGGCACTGTACGGTCTGCATCAAGCGCCACAGGCCTCGAAAGCAAAGCTGGACGCCAAGCTGATGTCACTCAACTTAAAAAGGAATGCATTGGAGCACGCCATCTAAATCAGGCGGAACAACAACTCGAAACTGGTGGCTGGGGTCTACGTCGATGATCTCATCATCACCGGCTCGAGCTGCGGCGACATCAAGTCGATCAAGAAGGAGATGGCGGTCACGTTCAAGATGAATGACTCGGCCTACTTCACTATTACCTCGACATTGAAGTGAAGCAGAGCGCGAGGGGAATCTTGTTACGAACCAGTTTTGAACGTGTGTGAGATTCACAAGGATGCCCATATATAAAGACAAAGGGCCTTAAGTATATATGGGTTGGGCCTATAATAGTTAACAGCCCCCTTCAGGTGAAGGATCCGAAACATTGAGTTTGAGCAAGTGAAGCCGATGTTGCTCTAGTTTGTGCTTTGGTGAAAAAAACAGTCATTTGCAATTTTGACCAGTGTTATCGATGGCGAATGGCGGAAAGCCAAAACACCACCATATTTTTATGGCCAATGGCGTAGCGGAAAATGGCGAAAGTCATGGTGGACCAAAAAATATATAGTTTATATATATCCATTCATGTAAAATTTAGATTAGATATGAACACAAAAACACCAAAAAACATGTCAATAAATTACACAAAAAGAGGCATTAGTTTCAGAGCATAACAACATATCAAACATCTTTCAACATGTTCCAAATAACCCCACACATCAAAGGAAAAAAAGGTCAACTAAACAATCCAAACGACAAACATTTGATAAGTTTAAGTCTTCCAATTCTCAAATCAAAAGCAAGGATAAATAAAATGCAAATCAAACACGAATCAAATGACTAATTCTCCTCCTCAAGCTCAACATAATCATTTTCCATGTCATCATCAAGTAGAGCATCTCTCTCATCCTCTTCTCCATTCGAATTCTCTAAATCCACAAAATCTTCTTCTTGAGATTCCTCATCTTCATCTTCAAACTCCACTTCATCATCCTCAACCATTTTTCTCCTTCCCTTTCCCTTGTGTAGCTTGTTCTTTGGGGTTGGAGTTCCTAGTACGTGAACCACTGTCCGATAGCTCCTTCCTTTTTGTAGCATTTCGCCTCGTGAATCTTATAGGCTCTCCAACCCCCGAAGCCTCGTACACGGTATCCCAATTCAATGAGGTATCACCATCAAATACCAAATCCCTTCCGTCACCATCATCGTCATCATCATCCATTTCCCCAAGTAACCACTCATTACAATTGTCAATATGATCGAGTGAAATTGGGTCAAGATTATCCCTAACATCAAATCTCATCTTCAGTTGTTGATTGTATTTGACATACACTAAATCATGCAACCTCTTATGCTCGAGCCTATTTCTCTTCTTTGAATGAATCTGGAATAAAATTAATTACAAAAAAAGTTAAAGACTACTAGTACCTGCTCAAACACGCTCCAATTGCGTTCACAACCCGATGCACTACATGTCAGCTAAGAATTTTCATCGTAAATTTTTGCAAATTTGGAGTTTGGCAACCATACAATCGCCACCATTTATCTACAATAAAAGTTTATAAATTATGATTTAAAAATTTTATGAAACTACTATTAATTAATAAAAATATATAATATTTTTCCTCACCTGGAGCAACGGTTGTCCGGTGTTGTTTTGCAAAATCACTTCGCCGGGAGTGCCTTTGGATTTCGGTGAGTCCAAGTGAGTCACCGGGAATTTGAAGTTGAAAGTTGAAGTGATTTGTAGATCTACGAGCTTTGGTCGGAAAATCGGAAGCCTTCTTGTTGGAATTTTTGTTTGAAACTCTGATAAGTTGTTCGCACAGACGAGAGCTTCGCGTTGATATATGATTTGTCATTATCGGAGGTGGTTGGCCGGAGAACGTGGCGGCCGATGGCGGCTCGCAGTGGCTGGTGGCGGCCGGGGTGCTTGGGGAAGAAGGCCACTTGGTTCGCGGGCGACTCTCATTTGGCGACCTGCGAACCGAAAGTCGCTGGGCGCGAATGGAAACTTGCTGGCGAACGCGACTTGGCAGGTTGCGAAAGGAGT